GGTGGATTTCAATGCAGATTTTATGTTCGCGCGGTGAACACGCATCAGCGATTTTCGAAAAGCGCGTCAGATATCGGTCAGCCGAGCTCGATCAACGAGTTTTGGCCGCCGCGGCGCGGCGGAACAGAAAGGGAATAAAATATATTCAAAATTCAGGATAAAAAATTTTAAATGTTGAAAACTGTCGATACCTCTGCATCTTTCATGTTACACATACGAGGTGAGCCGACGAAAATATTTTTATTCTCTTTTTTGTAGATTATTGATTTGTGCGAAATATAACCAAACACGTCAGTTTTGCTGTTAAGGAGAATATATCTGTACCTTATCAGAGCTAAAGGCTCGTATGTCCATTTTTTTTAACATTTCGAGAGCTCATTTTTTTTTGAACGCCTTATCAAAATTAAATAAAATTGGCGTAAATTATAGTTTGTTATTTAATTACCCATCAGATTTATTCTGTTACTCTTTTTCAAATAAATGAAGGGTATTTTGAAGTTATTTTTAAAAATCATAAAAAACGTGATTTTTCAAAGTTAATTAGCTATAACTTTTTAACGAAACGTTTCCGGACTTATGTTTATTGGAACTTGTTTTATTCCAAATTCAATTTTCTATAAGACCCTGAAGTTTTATTGACCTGATCTAGAACATCCTGTATAATTGTAATAAATTCAATACTATTTCTTGAAAATTACTTATTCAAATTAAAAAACAAGATCCATTTATAAAGAACTAAAAGACCTTTAAAACGATACATTACTTGTTGATGCTTATCATTATTTAAGATTCATTAAAGGATAGTTATCTTAATTAAAGAGTTGAAGCAGCAGGGTTGAATTTATTATTATATATTTCTTTTAAAAGAAAATTGACGTGTTTTGGCATATATTTCGCACAAATTAATTGGTTACAAAAAACAAACGGGATAAGAAATTTTTATTAGCTTATTCCAACTGTATATATCTTTTCTTTCCGCTCGTCTCCTGCCGTTATTTCTGTAATTTTAGTGTATATTGAGGAAATTATAATTGTGCCGCTTGCAAACGGACTGAAAGCGGAGTCGTATTTAAACGGCGGCGAAGGAAATATCCGCGAATTAAAGTTTTCCTTTGTTCGCGTGACGAGTGCGAGACGGTTAAACGCAAAGCGCGAACGCACCGACACACGGTCGCTTGATTAAATATGGCGAACGTGCTGCTATTGTTCCCGCGCGATCGCAAATGCAGCTCTTAACGTCTCGCAGGTCGTTACAAAGGCGCGCACAAACGTCAACCGTTTTCGACGCATGCAGCGAGATGCACGAGAAAAGTACGGTGCCGATGTTAGCGGTAACGATTTTCCGATTTATCCCTCTGCTCGCTCCTCCCCCCCGAAACATTAGCAAATTGATACTCTTCATTAATCTCGTTCTTATAAATTTACTTAAAGCGTATCCGGCACAATTACTTTCTTGCGACAAAAAGCGAAACTTTCAAAGACATGATTCAGTCATTAGCGGAAGCTACCGTTCGTTCTTATTAGTAGTTAGTCTCTTAACGTCAACTCGATATTTTTCGTCTACCGCGCTATTTCTGATTTCGATAGTAGGTATGAGCTTTTCAGCGTAGAACATCAAAGCTGAAGTTTCTGTATACAAATTCAGGCATTTAGAAATAATTGCTCAGCTTTGTATTAATTTTTCTCAAGATTCCAAAACAGAGAGCGGAACTCAACTTTGCATATTCTTGGTAATATCCTGTAAAAGCACGAAATTACGTGTACTTTGTATTATAGTCTACGATCTCTACGTAATATATATCAAGTGGATTACAGAAACAAGAATTAAGCGTGGATCGGACCGCGAAATAATTCCTCTCGCGAAAAGAATTAGGGGAAAAAACTAAACTATATGCCGGGGGAAATCGAGTAGAGTCGCGATAATCCAATTGGCAGCGAACAAAAGGAAGAAAGCGTTGTAATGGCGAAATAGAAAAATATCGGATAGCGGGTGGAACAAAGTGAAGGAAGCTTTCGAAGAAAGATTAAAGAGGGGATTTTGTAAGTAGACGCGAGAATTTGCTCCTAGTCTGTCGGGGGGATGGCCGGCGGCTTCTTCGGGGGGAGGGGAGGGGGGGGGAGGGGAGGGGAAGGGAGGGGAGGGAGCGGCTTTGTCGGACGAATTCTTGCGGTTTCGGCGCAATTACCTTGACTGAACGTTAATGACGGTTCGTAAATCACGATAGGATGGAACAGAAGTTATACTATCGACAGTGAACGCGATGCCGTAATTCGTACGCGGACTAAATCCTCTTGTTTCCAAATATACAACGGCGTATGTTTAGAATAAATTATACATACATAAAATTTTATTTCTCTATTTAATCTCAACGGGGGGGAGGTTGCTATTATTCTTCCGCGATTGCTCCGATGGCTTTTCCTTGCGTTCTTATGTAGGAAATTTATTGCTCTTCTATCAAACATTCTATCGAACGTTGTTTTGTTCCTCTCTATACCTTTCTCGAGCAGCTGACATAAATTCTGATCGGTGGCAAGCTGCCAAGGGTAAGTTCAAAGATTATACGATATATACTTATATACAATACTTGGGCATCTTATCCCAGCCTCATTGTTGTATTGACTATGGGTTGTATAAATTTTCGAACTTTTTAGCACAGTTTTCTATCGATAAATTTTACACAATATTTTTTAAGTCACCATTTGTGAAGAGGTACTAACATTTGTACGAAATTGCGCAAATAAGCATTTAAACAACACGCGTGTCTTAAAGACGCCTTTTTTTTAGAGATGTTTTAAAAAAGACATCTTAAAGACTTTACCAAGAAACATCCTAAAGATGTCAAAACTTTTAAAAGAAAAGACTTTTATTAAATTATATCAAGTCTTTTATATGAAATATTTTTTCGAGCATATATAACTGTTTATACACTAACTCACTTTATTTATTACAATACATATGGCACAGTCAATTTAGATGTAACATAGTCCACAAAAGTGTCTTAATTAACATTTAATATTGTAATATTTTTTTATTATTTCGATGTGACGACACAATTAACACGTCGCCGACGGTTAATGTTGATATTTTGACCCGCAGCAAACGAATCTGGCCACGCGCACAAATAAAAACGTTTAAAAAAGAACCATTATATTTATAGAATAAAAATTGATATTTATAATTAATGACTGAGATATTTCTTCGCCAGTATCAAAAAATAATGAAATATATTTGAGCGACCCAACTGGCCAAAATTTCTCCTTTATATATGTTTCGGCCAACATCTGGCTCTTTTCAAGTGAGGAATATAACAATAATTATTGCCAGCACTCCACGCATATACATCCTATGTCGCTTAATATAGTTCCCAAAATATATCATGCTTCATAAAGAAGTTTTATGCATCGACAAAAGCAGAAGTAAAAGATACAATTAGTCAAGAGATAGTTGAAACCGAACATCTTGTCAAATGCGTCCGAACGTTACAACAGTCAAAGTCAAAGTTTATAATTAATATCGGGCCGTATTTTACAATAGATACTAATCCAGTTTTTTTTAATATTAATATGCGAAATTCAACTTGTTTGTCTAACAATAAATCTCAAGGTGTCTTTTAGATACTAATATTGTCTGAGTAATTTTACGCACATCCCTTGCCTCTTGGCAAGGTATTAATGCAATGAAAGATTTTGTAAATCGAAACATAGACATCGAATAAACATATAGATTTCTAATAACTTCATAGACATCTTTAAAATTTCAAGACGTCTCAAGACTCAAAACATCACAATGTTCTCTGGGTACAAGATGATGCCATCTTTGAAATAGAATCAGATATTGTCATCTGGATAAATGAATAGGCAACGCACTGAATCGTCTTTGTATACACGACAATTCTAGCTTAATGCAAAATGCAACGTGCAATTGTAGATCGACAAAGTGCTCGATGGTAGGACTCATCCGATGGGGAAACTCGTCGGATTTGAGGATCCAATGACGCTTTGTCATTAAAGTCATTACGTCATCTATCAATACATAGCTCCTAAGCCTGCTGGGTCCGCAATTCAATGACAACAAAGCCGCATTTACCGATTGTATAGTACGCCTCACAATAACCGGCTACGCAGAAACTTGAATGGCAACAATGTCCGACTACGGTTTGCGGGATAGGCTAGAGCCAATTTCCACGTTACCGCATTATTTGACACTAAAGTTGCTTCACTGGGACAAAATATATCTCGGTTGCTTTCCCAGATGTGTCTCAGATTAATTAGGTTTTCACGATTTTTTCAATTAATGATTTTCTGGCGTTTACAGTTTCATTGTATCTTGCAACGAAGTACCTTTTATGGCAGAAAATTGTGCCGTATTAACACTGCGCGGACCTTTTAAGGCACACTCGATTTTTCATTTATGATTCCCACGGGAATGGCTTCAACTAGCGCTCATTTAAACAAAATTGCAACAGTTCCGGCCTGTGTAAGTATAGAAATCACTTTTTGAAACCTTAAACATAATTCATGAATTTTTATAAATTTTTTGTAACACAGAAACGCTTTCAAAAACCCTTTAGACTTAAAAGTCCCTGGGTGTCCGGGTGAGTGCTCCAAAAACAGTGCAGTCCACGCAGTGTTAAGTGTAAAGTTATTAAGGAAGTCGTAACACTAATGAGGTTAATCTTTATCTCGAGCAAACGATAATAATGCTTAATTTTAATTGCACCTCTTGGATCGAAGCGTTCCGCGTTCACCGAGGGGTGAACGAATCTGCGCGACGGCGGGGGGAGGGGGAGAATAAAATATAAAACGTGGGAATCACAGTTTTTACAATACGAAAGATTTTCAGCGTCAGAAAGTTCTAATTGCCCCGTAGCGTAACGGATTACACGCGTTTTCGCGGTGTCACATGACACCGGTCACCGGGCCGGGAAAACAAAAGGCCAGCCGGGAGTGATGGATGGGTTCCAGACGATTGAAGCGGCGTTACCGGCTTTCTGTTTCAGGTGGCATGGCTGCGGGTGGACACGCAAACCATCCTGACGATAGCCAATCACGTGATAACGAAGAATCACAGAATCGGCGTCACGCACAGCGAGCACAAAACGTGGCTCCTACATATACGTGATGTCCGCGAGAGCGACCGGGGGAACTACATGTGCCAGATAAACACTGACCCGATGAAGAGTCAGATTGGTTATTTGGAGGTCGTAGGTTCGTCCATTGTGCCCCTCACGCGCGTCGAATTAATATCACGGTAGAAATCCGGAGGCTGTAACATTTCACTAGAGGAGAAAGAGGAGAAGGGGAAAAAGAGAGAGAATCTTTGTTTTCACAAAATTCACATTTGTTTCGAAGGTTGAGCTCGAAACTGTAGCAGGACACGGATGACTGGCGAAGTTCGCTTTTGGGCTCGGCCCGTGGCATCGCTTTTGAGGCTGTATACGCTATACACGTGTGTATATATGTATATTGTACGTGCCTTTAAACCGCCAAACGATAGCGTATCGAAAATTGCTTCGCGGTATTTCGCGAAATGGAAGTTGGCGGTCCCCAGGTTTCTCGTCGTCGATTCTCTTTCTCATTCTCTCTCTCTGAACATTGCGCTCTTGCGCATCGTTCACTTTTTTTATGATTCCGAGGTATTTTCCATTCTTCTGTTATATTTTTATAAAACAGCAGCAATACTCGAATTGTCCATGCAAATATGTGATGTAAAGGCTCTGATCAGAATTTTTATCCGACAGTTCCGCCGGATATTCTGGATTATCCTACGAGTACGGATATGGTGGTGAGAGAGGGTAGCAACGTTACACTGCGTTGCGAAGCAACAGGGTCACCGACGCCAAACATTACCTGGAGGAGGGAAGACGGCGAGTTGATTATTCTCGGAAACAGTCAGGAAGGTAAACTTATACTTACGAGCCGTCTTATATATGTACAAAGAAAGCTTAATAGTCCCCTAAAATAACTTAATCACGTTACATCTAAAATCTTCTGTAGGCGAATGGTTATAATATTTACTATATATATATATATATATATATATATATATATATATATATTTCGAGATGTATATTTGTACCTTAGAGGTAAGAAATCGTATCTCTATTATAATGAATTCACAGAAGACAAGGTTTTAAAGTTTTTAATTGAGAAATGATATATTTTTTTAGATATAAAATAAAAGTAGCAACTTGATTTATCAAGTTTTTAATAAAGTAATTTAACTGATATGTTTAATAAAACAATTGCCAATAACACGCTGTACCTGGTTTAAAAATTGGGCACTATAACAATTTTCAATACGACTTATCTCAACATTATATTTTAGGAACCAGTAATAATAGACATAAGACGCTTTACCATTATACAATTTAAGCTCCTATTATATTGAAAAATATATTAACTTTATTTTTACAAAAACTGGAGATACGATTCTTTACCTCTAATAAGGTACAGCTATATTGTATATAAATATAATAATATTTAGATATATATATACACACACGCGTTATTCTGTACTTCGCATAATTATATTTCTCTTTCGGGAGATTCAATTCTTTATTAAAACATATTCTATATTAAAACAGACAGCAATTTTTTGCACCAATAACATGCTAACCGTGCAATTGCTCACAATATTCGTCAAATTTCCCATGGCAGACTATTTTCCATAATTCGCGCGCGTAAAGCGCGCGTCAGGTGGCGCGAAAATTCTCGTCCATTTCGACATCTCGACATCGTACTTATTTTATTCGCATCGCTCATCTTGAAAATCGTAGTAGGAAAAGCGCCCGCGCGCAACTGAAACACCGGATTCACTCAACGCGAGCAGGGGGACGACGATTTATCATTCCGCCTCTCGGACTTTATTCAGCCGACTACGTTGCGTGATGCAATTGCATTCGAAGCTGCCGATGCTCACCGTGTCGGTGACGTCAAAGTGAAATATGCGTTTCAGCTCTTATGCGTCTCGCACAATAACGCCCAAGGAAAATCGAGCGCTCCTCGTTCGCACCTGTTCGTACAACGGTGTGACTTTATTCTACGGGTACAATAACAATTTATCACCCTTTTGTCTTTCAAACTTATTGAGCCATCCCGGCCTCTCTCTCCGCACAGTTCCGTTAAATATTTGCTCTCCTTTGTGTGCATTTTATACACCTGTCCCCACGCGGAGAGAGAGAGAAAGAGAGGGGGAGAGAGAGAGAGAGAGAGAGAGAGAGAGAGAGAGAGAGAGAGAGAGCCACGATAATTTATAAGGACAGGCGACAATTCTTTCGGCCCGTCGGCACTTTTTTACAGTTTGACCTTGTTCTTTGCGCTAGATGAATATGGCCCGTTTTAGCAACATCATTTATTTTTTAAACTAACATTCAGTTCGTAGAGCTTTCGTACTAATATTAATCTCGGTTTGCTTTATAAATATACCGCGGAAAATTCATAATGTATGCGGTTCGGTGCTAAAATAATGAGATCGATTTTATCTTATAATAAGCTTTCATCTTAATTTTTCATTCCGAACGAATATTCGTCCGAACTAAACTAAACGCTAGAATCGCACGTCGAATAAAATGAAATGATTTTTAAAATGGCTTATTAAAAGTAAAATTAGTCTTATTATTTAATCGCTGGATTATATTATCGTTAATGACAGTTTATTTATTATTCACGTTGCTTTTATTGCGAAAACGATTTGCACGGCCGCCTCTCTTAATTTTTCATTCTGTTTTCGATTCATGTTAATGCCGTTTAAATACACCGCTACTCATAATGATTCGCTTGACGTGGATACAATATCTATTTATCATTCCTATTGTTTCCCGAAATTTATTGAACCGTCGTTTTGCATAATGCCGTTTTGCTGACAACGAAAACATTTATTCCGCTACGCGTGCAGTTTATTCGCGCGCATCATTTAATATCATCTGCCAATCGTTTCAAATGTCCTACCGTAGAAATTTATTACGCCTTCGATTACGTTTATCCCCACATATTATTTCCATTATGACGTATTTGTTATCAGGGTTTGTAATATTGTTTAATGCTCTGTTAGTCTTATTACTTTTCTCTCGTTTTACGCATGTCCGTTCGTCCGATTCACGTTTATTTCTTCTTCGTTCATTCGGAAAGATGCAGGCTCATCTTCAGTATCGTGATAATCTTTTCATTTGCATGCGATTTTTCTCCTCCTTTAACTTTCTCGATTTTTTGGTCAATAAGTAGTAAGTTTCTTTCTCTCGCAAGTTTCTTCCGGCTTCTTGTTTAACTTGCGAACATGTTCAGCTTCTTTCGCGACCATGAAAAGTCCCTCTTGAACTTCTCCATCATACCCGGTTTATTTCCATTTCAATCTTTACTCTGTGCTTGAACGCTTCCACTACCGCCTCCTCTCATTTTTATTTCTTAAAGAAAAGTCGATATTCTCTCTTTCTCTCGATTTTTCAAAAGGCACTTCTAACACGAGCTTGCTCCTCTTTAATTCACAAATATGACTCCTTGTTCGCGCGACTTTTTTTATTTCTATCTTTCCGTTTCTATCTTTATCCTTCCCCCTCCGCCCCCTCTTCCCGCTCTCGCGCTTGACTTTTTTAACGTTCAGGTACTGTTTCTAGCGCTCCATACTTTAATTAACGAATTCCTCCTTTTCCCTTCCTTTCCTACACTCGCGTACTTTCCCGCCCGGCAGTTCTCTACCTCGCGATTACCACGATTTCTCCCCCTCCCCCCTTTTTTCTACCCTCGAAAGTCTCTCCTCTTATCCTAGTCTTTTTCTCAGGCAATCGCGAACAGTCACGACAATCCACCCTTCTCTCGACGCGTCCCCGACCCAACTTCTCGCATTTTGCCGTGTCCTTTTTGAACCCGCCACGAACTCTTTCCATTCCGCCGGCGACCTTTTTCACTCATGAGTAAACGCCCGCGCGCTCTCCTTCTGCCGCCGTCCTCTCTCACGCACCAGCTCTCCATCACGGACGCTACTATTCTTGCTCGTGTATGCGCGAACAAAATCACAGATAAACCGGCGAACCTATTTGCCGGAAACTGTCCGCAAATACTAGCGGCGGGGAAATAAAGTTTCACTAGTTGCGGGCTAGCGCGAAGTTTCGGGGACGACCTGCTTTGTGTCGTCGATCGTCGTAAGATACTTTTCAGTCTGCACTCTGCCAGCTTCCCCCCCCCCCCCCCCCCCAAAAACTTGGCCAAAGCTATTTTCAAACATTTTGGACGCGCGCGCGCGGGCACATTTTTGTAATTTATACGATAAATATTTATCAGTGGCTTGAGAAGCGGGGAATTATCGCGAGGAGAAATATGGCTATATCCAGAAATTGCATTAGGACGGGCCAGTCATTGCGTCGTGAATTATTACAAATTTAATCCGCATATGCATTCATTATGAGCTCATAAATGCAGTAATTCTCTTGAATTATTATTAATTACCTAGATACTATCCATTCGTACATAATGATCGTACAATCGATTTCGCGTTGCCGAAGGTGACAATTTATGTCTTCCGGTATAATTCCGGAACTGAATAAGCAGCGCAGGTAGAGCTGGAGATCGCGAAATATTCGGAACCGAACAGTGAAACCGCGGCCGATTTAATTATTTCATTAGTCGAAAAAGCCGCGTTAGCTTAATTCCAAAATCTGGTACACGAGGGGCAGAAACGTGAAATCTATTAAACGTAATTGGCATTATCGGCCTCTTTTTTTCTCTCCGTGTTTTTTTTTTCGCTGCGACGACAGCGTATAAATCGGCGCTTGCAACTAATTAACTAAAGAGCGCGCCCGCACAGCGGCTCGTACGGCCCGACCGCCGCGCCGTTTTACAGCTTATCTCGTATGCAGGTGATTTCAGGCCGAGTCAGCAGGCGTTTCAATAACATAAATCGCCTTGCGCAGAGATTAAACGGTGGAGCCGACAAAGTCGTTCCTCAACGACTCGAAAATTCATTTCCTCTGAAAATATCCTTTCAGGGGAACTTTTTGATCTTTCGTTACGAAATAAATGTACGTACACTGCGCCTTAGAAAATAATCCTCCCCGCTTTTCAGTATCATGGATATCGTAAATATCGCGAAAACACGTGTGCGTACGTGGGACGATCGTTTGGAATAGATATGCAACTTTTTGTAAATTTAGTGCGACAGTTTATCCTAGTGTATATCTCGCGAGCGCGGCAGACACGGGAATGCAGGAACATGAAAGTTAAGGATAACAGGGGCGAGTTCTAAAGCCCGCGGATGTTGTCAGTGCGCCGTGTGGCTGCAACGCGGTATAGCCGGAGAGAGAAGTCGGTATTTCGGCTTACCTCTTAAAACTTAAGAAAT